GGGGCCCATGCTCAGCGCTGCTACAATGGGGGCTTAGGAACTGGTGAAGAACAGTAGGGCAAAGTTCTAAAGAAAGCAAGAGCGGGCTGGGGAGACATCCGGGAGGAGCAGACACTGCCACAGCAGCAGAAGAAATGCAAGGCCAGAGTGTCTGGGGAGTTCCAGAAAGAGCAAGGCCGTCTGTGGGACAGACTAACTAAGGGGACCTACACGGTAGGATGGCAGAGGAAGTTCGTGTATGGGGAGAAAAAGGAGGGCAGATCCCGACCTCCTCCTCACACTGTGTGACCAGCACATTGTAAACATTTAACATTAATGAAGAACATTTTTAAAGTGATTTGAGTAACTGCCCTTAATTACCCAAACAACTCTGAGAGGTAAATGTGGATATTTTAGATGCTGTTTTCTTCATTTTACAGATGAGGAAACTGAGGCTCAGCTCTGCATCACACAGTGGTGGAGGCAGGACTAACAAGGGCAGAATCCAGGCTAGGAGCTACTGCCCTCTTAGAACCTGCTACCTCAGAAAGAGGAGGGCCTGGCCAGGGCTCCCGGCTCAGTGAGGGTTGTGCTGGCCCACACTCCCCACCAGGGAGTCTGATGGATGGGCTCAGCACCTTCTTTCTTTCCCTGTCCCTACAGCCCTGGACAGCCCAGGACAGTCTCTCGCCCAGCAAGGCTCCCTGGTCCTGCCTTCTCCCAGACTGTGGACAGCTGGGGATGGGACGGTGGGAAGGAACCCAGGACATCTCGGCAAGTGGCTTATTTTCCTTTCCATTACAGGCAGTGGGCGCAGCCGGCAGGCGATGGAGCCCATTTGTTGCTATTGGCATCCTGAGGCCCCAAATTATGATGATGACTAATTCCCACCGCTGTAGGCAGCTCCAGGGCTGTCTGCAGCAACGTGCTCCCTGGGGTGGAAATCCCACAGGCAGCACACCGACACCCAGCCTCCGTTCCTATTCAGTCTCCTGACTCCCCAAGGGCCCAGGATTTGGGAGAGATGGGGAAGGAGTTTTCAGCCAACCAAAGGACCCTTTCAACCAAGTCCTAGGATAACCAGCTCTAAGGAGACCAATGCCTTCACCAACATAAAACATAACTATCTAACAACCATTTGCATGAGGTAGTGATCCCTCCGTCACCAAGGCTATACAAGCAGACCAGATGGCCTCTTGTCCAGGTTTGTGGGCAAAGGAAGTTCTGGATGACTCTTCATGTGTCTGATACAATGATTCCACTAGTCCTCAGGACAGAGAACAAGCCCATTCTCCCTTACCTTTAGCTTAGAGCCCAACTGTGTCTGAGAGGGTCCAAGGTCAAATGCTCACCAACATGCAGTTTAACACATCATCCTATGGGCGGCCATTCAGGCACTGTTTAAACAGAGGTCTGCTGTAAAGGATTTGGCCTCTTTCCCAGTCTTCCTATCCGGATGGAACAAGGTTCCTGGCCCCTACTCCGGCCTTCCAGTAGAGGACATAGAGGAGAGCCAGTCGATAAATATTTGCGGAACAAATGCATGAAAAGGAGGGTTTCTGAGGCAGGTGCAAGCTGTCTGCATGATCCTGGGTGGGGTCCCAACTCTTCAGCCCAGACAGGGAGCTTTTGCAGCCAATGGAACTTCCAAACGCTACTATTCATCTGAACGCATGCACAAAGAACGTTTCAGACGCCCCAGCTGAGGCCTAGGGGTGCACAGGATGAGGGAGAGAGGGACATGGGAAGAGGGAATGGAGAAGCGGGGCCACCTCCCATCCCACTCTCCTGTGGGGCTTTTGACAACTGAGCCCCAGGCAAGCACGACATTCGGCCTCCTGGTAATTAGCAAGAGGCCCTGATCAATAAGTTATTTTTTGCTGTCAGTAATTAATAATTACAGCTTAGCCATACCATGTAATTAAACTTTCATCCCGCTCCCTCCCGTGCTGTCTGGCTTTTATTGTGGTTGGCTTCCTGAATTGCGCTTTCTCCCTTCAGAGCCCTCCAGGAGTCTGGAGCTGAAGCCTCCAGGTCTTTGTCAGGGTTTCCCCACCGCCTGGTTCACTTAGCCCTATGCCACCTTGTTCTTTCCCTCATGCCTGGTTCTCTTGAAAGACCCTCCTGGACAGCTGGCCACTGCCCTAGTGGCCACTGGTCTCCTCCTAGCCTCTCAGGCATGCCAGGATGACCTCCTGCAGCAATCAGGCTTACAAGCATGGTTCACTTGGTGAAATGCAAGCAGCAAGGCACAGCAGACCTTTCCAGTCTTAGTGCCTGGAGGGAGCTGGTGACTCCGCATTGTTAGCAGCTCCCTGGGAGCTCAGAGGTTAAGGGCCACTCTGCAACACATTGAGGTCGTCATGGAAGGATGTTCAGAAAGCTCCAGGAATTCAGGTTCTTATTGGCCGGTGGCAAGGCACCCCTCTGGGTCCCTGGCTTAGTGTCAGACCAGTTATAATAACAATGCTGAGTAGGAAGCACCTTCTATGTGGGGACCATTTGCTGGCGCCTCCCTCTGGAATGTCTCCATCGTCGTGTGAACTCTCTAACACGGCCACTACTACACCCAATATAAGGATGAGGATAAGGGACATATAGATGTGGAAGTCAAGGCTCTGAGCAGCCGAAAGCCTTGCTCAAACCTCTCTGCAGTTAGGCCACAAAGCCAGATCACAACAGCCTGTTCATTCTGCTGCCAAAGCCAATGCTCTTTCTACAATGTCACTGAACTTCACTTGGGAAATGAGTTTGAACCATGTGACATCAAATTGTGGGGAATTTAAATGATTCAATTGTGTCTTTCAGTATAGCCAGGTGGCGATGGCCTCAGATTGGAAGAAACTCACTTTCTAAACCCAAAGCAGATAACCCCTGTGCCCGAAGCCCAGCCCTCCAGTAAACCCAGTCTTGCCCCCAAGCCCGGGGGGAGAGACTGCATTCCCACAATCCTGTGCAGCGTTTGCCGCCTGGAAGACAAATGGAAGGAGGCGGCCGATGCTGGCAGACGAACATTCTCGGAGCCAGAGAGCACAAACAGAGCAGCAGGGGCCTTGGGCAGCCTGACACTCAAAAAGGCAGCAAACAGGAGAAGCCAGAGAGAGTGAATCAATCAGCAACCTTCCCTGCTCCTGACAGGCGCAACCCCTCCCGAGCGAGAAGGGCAGAGACGGTAGGCAGCCTGGACTTAACTTCAGCAAGACAGGTGGGGTCTTGGCCTCAGGTGGATGGGGAAGGTATGGAGGAGGGGAAGGTATGGAGATAGGGAAGGCAGGAAAGGACATGAAGGCTCTGAAAGAAGGACCACCAGTGGCTCTGGGGACTCCTTAAGGGCCCAATCCTGTATGTAACAAGAATTGGTAAGCTACCCATCCAGGGAAGCCAGGTCTTTGGTGGAGTTTGTGTAATCATGAAGCTAGAAGTCTCAGTCTCAGCGCCCTGCTTTGTCTCCTGGCTTCTGGGTAGTAAGGTCATGAAAATCTCAGAACCAACCCATGAGGTGCCTCAGAATGAAATATAGCTCATTCCTGTTCCACCAGCACCATGTCTTCCTGGGACCCCTTAAAGAGGAACCCCAGACAAAGACATCCCAGCTACATCTGGCCCTGGTGCCTAGAAGAGTCGCTCAGAACTCACCTGACCCCCCAGCACCCTGACCCCTGATCACTGAGTGGTCTTCGGTAACTCACTTGATGCCACGGGGCCTCAGTTTCCCCATCTGCTAAATGGCTATTAGAATAAGATGACCTCTGGGTTTCCCGCCTGCTGCAAGATTTTATGATGATCATAAAAATAATAACTTTTATTACCTTACATTTATGGAGCTCATTACAAAATTTCGAAGAGCTTTTACCTAAATTATCTCGTAAAATCATTCCCTCAACTCTTTCGAGCAAGAGTTGATCATTTTAATCTCTGATCTTGGCTCTTGGAATTGCCTGATTCTGGGTGCACTGGGGTCCCTTTTCTCACTGGAGTCCCTTTTCTCACCGCGGTCCCTTTTCTCCCGCGGGCTTGGAGACCCCAAAGACGGAGTGCAGTCCGGCGCCCCCAGGTGGGCCAGGCCCCTCCAGACCCTAGAAGAGGGAAGGCTCAGCGCGGGAGTGTGGAGCTTCAATCCAGACTTTGCCTCCCTAGCCCCCAGCAGGCGCCGCTCAGACACCGCGGGCATCACCAAGTGGATCTGAGAACCCCAAAGGCAAGGAAGCGCGGGTACAGCCGCCCTGCCCCTCTAGGACCTTCCAGAGGTGTGGGGAGGCGTGTGGACACCCATCCTCTGGAGGGAGATGGTGCGATCACCCCTTCTCCTCCTTTCCAGCACTCCCACCCCAAACCCAGCCCTCCACTACCAGGCTGCTCCAGGCAGCCACAGGGCACGGTAGGCAGGAAAGACAACCCAAGACCCGTGAAGGCTGAAGACAGGGGCGGGATTCGGGGTGTGTCTTGAGGGGTCTGAGGGATGCCTCAGACCCTCCTTGCGCACCACTACCCTCCCACCAGGGTCCGAGGCTGCACCCGCGTCTGGCTCCAGGCCCAGGCTGCAAAGCTCTCCCGGCCAGGCAGCCAGGCTCGGGCTCCCGTACGTGGCTAAGCAGGGCGACTGCCCTCCAGGGGCGACCCAGCCAGCGCCTTCCTCTCGCTGGCGAGCGCTCCATCCCTCGCCCCGCGCCTCCCGGACAAGGCCTTGCCCAACTGGAACCAGGAGCAGGGCCCGGGGAACCCAGGGGAGCCAGAGGTGGAGCTGGGCACTGAACGACACCCCCAGCGGCCTGGGGGCGGTGGCGTGCCCCTCCCACCTCCCCTCCTGCTCTTCCCAGCCTCCCCGGGAGACCCCACCTTCCCCAGTCCGAAGCTGCAAGTCTCAGAGAAGCTGCCCCGCCCGACAGCCCCTGAAACTCAGGGAGGGGGGAGTCTTGAAACTCCCAGGAGAGGACTCTGCCAAGGCTTCGCCTGGTGTCCTGGAGACCACCCCTCCTCCTGCTCCTCCCTAGGCCCTCGCGGGGACGGCCCCCGTACCCTACCTTGGCCTCTGGCCACGCGAATCCGATGTAGAGCCAGCAGAGTCCAGACCAGCAGACTCCACATGGTGTCCAGTTTGGAGGGGGTGTCCTCTGGGGTCCTCTCCTCTTCCGCGCTGCTTTATAATCCTACTGGGGTCCGGTACCCCGCCTGCAGCTTCGTCCGGGGAGACAGTCTGCGCGGCTCTGACTCCCGGGCTTGGGTTTGCTGTGCCCGGGAGAAGCTGCACTGGAGACCCCAATTCTTCCTGCTCCTTTGCTGTCCAAGTCCGATCCCGGCGGCGCGCCCAGAAGGCGAGGGGAGAGCAAAGAAAAAGCGGCAAAGTCTGCCTCTCGGGCTCGGGAAGCCTCCTCCCCTAGCACCCCAACTTCTACTTCTTCTCCCAGGCAGGGCGGCCTCTGCGATCCGGCCAGGTCGCTGGCCGAGCTCCGGAATAAGCGGACAACTTCAGGAAACTTCCTCCCGTGGCCACGTTGCCCGCCCCCTGCCCCTCCCCGCCCCCTGGCTGGGTTCTCCAGACCGACGCAGTCACCACGGTTCCCGGCTCCCGGCCCCCGGGACCTGTTCCTAGCGGAGCATGGAGGTAGGCGAGGGTGCAGGGCTTCTTTCAGGGGTGCGGGGCTTGGGGGGCGCGGTTAGCATTAGGTCCGAATCTCCTTGGAGCTGAAGTTTTCTTCTCTCCAACTTTGCGGGCGGCATCTGGCGGGGCCGAGTCTTCCCTCTCGGCTCCACCACCTTCACGCCGAGTCCAGAGACTCCCGGTCCCCACCCCGCTTCCCGGGTGCGCCGGGGCCGGGTGCGCCCTCAGCTGCGCGCCCAGCCGGCTAGTAAACTTTGCGGGTCCCGCGGCCCCGCGCGCCCATGTCTGCGCCTGCTGCCGGCCGGCGGGGGCGGATGCTGGGCTGGCGACTCGGGCTGAAGCCGGCGCTCCGGCGCAGAGCCTCCTGCCGGCGAGAGGATGGAGACCCGCGGCTCTGCCCTCCGTCGCGCCCTGGTCGCAGCTCTCGGCGAGACGCACGGAGAGCCCGACGAGCAGCCCCGGCTCCGGGGACTCGGTGCCCCCTCGCACGCTCGGTGCTTGCCGACCGCGCGGGCCGG